ACCCACCCACCCATCCACCTACCCATCCATCTGCTCATCTGTCTACCCACCCACCCATCCATCATCGATATATTATTTATCTGCCATCTATCAGTCTTTCTGTCTGTCCATCCGCCCGTCCATCCCTTTATATCTAACACTGTCTGTCTGTCTGTCTAACATCACACCTTCTTTGTTCTTTGTCTGTTCATGGACACTTAGGATGTTTCATGTCTTGGCGATTGCAAATAAATCTGCCGTGAACACCTGCGTGCAATTTTCTTTGACATCCCGCCCCTTCCCTTTGGTGATAGACTACGGGTAGGCTGCTGGAGCATGTGGAGTTTCACTTTGAACCTTTGAGGAACCTCCACGTGGTTTCCACAGTGGCTGCTCCTCTCACACCCCGCAGGGATTTTCTGCTCAGCGCCCCCGTGCCTCCCTCCCAAGCCCGCGGACCAGGCTGAGCTAGTTCTCACTGTGGTTTGGATTTGCATTACTTGTAGACCATTGACATGTCTTCTTTGGAAGGACGTTTTTTCGGGTCCTCTGTTCATTTTCAGCCAGCTTGTTCAGGATGGAAGTTTGGGGACAAGGGGCAGCCTGCAGCTTTGCTGTCTTTCCCACGGGAACCCTGGCTGCAGGGAGGGCGCGGGAGGGACCGACCTGGGCGGCTGTTTAAGGAGGTCCTGGCCGGCATTTCGGCGCCGCCACTTGGGGTGTCGCGAGTGGCGTGGGTTCGTGCGGAGTCCCGCGGGCCGCTCGGGGTGGCTGAGCGGGGTCAGCTGTGCCACGCCTGCCTGGTCCGTACTTGCCCAACCTCAGAGGCCGGAGCGCGCTGCTCTGGCCGCCGCCGAGCACAGGCGACCCGCCATGAGGCAGCAGGTGGCCCCCCAAACCTGCCTCCCACCCTTTCGGGGGGCCGTGTGGGCAGGAGGCAGTGGGTCAGCAGGACACTCGAGTGAGCCCCCTGTGGCCAGCTTGTCCTTGCCCTCCGCGGTCCACTCACGTGCGGTCCCAGAGGCCTCCTGGGTCGCGAGGAGGCAGTGGGCCTCGTCTTGCAGAGGGGTGAGGGGGCGCTGCCTCCCTCCCCGGGCTCAGGCGGACCAGCCTCCCCTTAAAGCCGCTGAGGCGCTGCGGCCCCAGAGGGCCCCAGAGCGTCTCTAGGGCCCTGGGAGGGGACGCAGGCCAGACAGACGCAGGCACTCTTAACTCCTCCCATTTGGGGAGTCCTGGCCTGGCCCTGCAACCTCACTCCAGGGGAGCGGACACCCCCGTGGCTTGGCGGAGCAGCTTCGGGGCAGAGCCTGGTACCCCTCTTACCTTGCCGGTTTCTCTGTTGAAGCAAAAGCTGGTGTTAAAAACGTACCCGGTTCAGTGTCTCCCTGGTGGCACAAGGGGTTGAGCACAGCACTGTGACGTGCCCAGCCCTGCAGCGAGCTCCATCCTGGCCGGAGAGTGACCCCAGGGCACAGCAGGCCCCTCCTGTCTCCCCGCTGCTCCCTTCAGAAGTGGATTTCAGTGGATCCACCTGTTCTGCTCCCTGCTGTCTCAGGGGAATCCTCGCACCCCCCCATCTCTGGCATGTACCCCAGTTCTTGTATGCATAAATAAATCTCTAAAGAAAAAACAAACTGCTTCCAGCACGGCCTTCGCTGTTGCTTAGGTGGCCCCAGTGCTCTCTGATGTGCTTTGGGGACAGAGAATTAAGCATATCGGGGAGCATATTGCTAGTTATATTTTCTCAGCAGTGTGAGTGATGGAGACTGCCTTTAATGTCATTATATGCTAAGCTGAAGTCTGTAGCCATCACGCAGCTGTCACAGCCAAGCTATTTGTAGATATTATCCTTAAATTAATGTCTTTCATTTTGACAAGAATGCGCTTTATCAGAGTTGGCGTAACTTTTAGATCCAACTGTTAAAACTTATGTGCATTTGTGTTTTTTCTTCTCTGTCTACTTACGGACCCAAGGAAGAGCAGGGAGAGACGGCCACAGAGGAGGTAGGCGGCAGGTTTAGCAGCTCTGCCCCGTGAAGCATCACGTCGGTGTATTCGTCCCTGGTGCACGGTTTGGCCATCCGCGCCCCGTCCTGCCCTGGGCCTCCAGGCCGCAGGCTGGCCCAGACAGGCTGTGCGGTGTCTGTGTGGCTCGGGGGCTGCGTGTTTGTCCGGGGCGTGTGGCAGGTGCACGGATGTTGTAAGAACGCCACAGCGTGCCCAGTATGCGTCGCCGGGGAGTGTGTGTGGCGGATGCTGGGGGTCTCGCAGGAGTGTGCTGCGCCCGGTGGCAGTGGGGTGTGCGCGCTAGCCCGAGATTCCGCGCCGTGACTTCTGATCCTGCCCTTTCTGTTAAATCAGGCAGAAGGCGTCCCGGAGGGGGGAGCCGAAGGGGAGGCCGCGGCCGAGGCGGAGGCTGAGGATGCTGAGCCTGGCGCGGAGGAGGAGCCGTAACGCCCGCAGCCCGCCTTCGCAGGTAGCCTGGGGTGAAGAGCGGGCTGTGGGTGGCGCTGCGCGGGTCTGCGCCTTTTCTCCTGGGTTTTCATAAAAAGCAAAACCGCCCAGTGCTGCCTGTTAAAGCATGAACCTGTAATGCAGGCGCCTGGCCCAGGACTCTCCAACAGACGCCCGTCTGATATTTTCCTTTTCTCTTAGAAACCCGAGACTCGCAGCCACATTTCAAGGTCTCCCCACAAAACACGCTCCATCAGAGGTGCCGCCCTAGGCTCTCGGTGCTCCAGGGCTCCCGCGCTCCCTGCCCGCCGTCGGCCTCCCTCGGCAACTGGATGGTCCACAGCAGACGGCGGCCTTCCGGCCTCAACGCCTGGCTTCTGCTTTGTGGTTACTGTTTGCTCTCTCGGATAGCTATCACTAATGCCGTGCAAAAGTTTTCCACACGTAGGCTCTCTCTGTGATAGAAAAATGCTTCCCTGTACGTGCCTCATGCTACTTTATTCGTTGTTGACTTTGACTTCACAAACAGGAGCTTAGCAGAGTGAGCAGGAAATAAAGGAATCGCCAACACCTGGTCTCTTCCCGGAGTCTCCTTGTGCCCAGCCTGTCTGCTCCGGGGTGGATGTTTGTTGCTATTCTGGTTATTTGGACCATGTTTCAAAGGACCGGGTGGGCTTGGGACATGCACACTATCCTGGAAGTGTTATCTGTTCATGTCTAATTCTTACTGAAGTGCCATCAGTTGACATCACCGCTTGAGCATTGCAAGCACAGGATCTCCCCTCAGGTGTTTGACGCCTAAGCCACCATCACGTGTCCTGTCCTCCAGCACAGCCCACTCTCCCTCCCCACCTGGCCCTCTCTGCTCGCACATCCTCCTCGCTTCTGGTAGTCTCAGTGCTAACTAAGGTCAGCATTCTGAGGTTAGTTTGTCATTTGCCTTCATCTGACCCAATTTCTCTCCATTCCACATATTGGAGACAGCACCTCGTACTTATCTTTCTCCTTTTGACTTATCTTGCATAGCATCACCCCCTTCCCCTCTGCTCCATATTTCTGCAAATGGCAAGCATTTCTCTTTTTGACGGCCGAGTAATATTCCGCCACATAACACAACCACATCTTTCCTATCCACTCATCTGTTGCTGGGCCTTTAGGTGGTTCCAGGGTGTGGCTGTTGTAAGTTGTGCCAGTGTGCACAGGAGTGAGTCCCCCTCAAATCAGCGTTAGCAGGCTTGTTTAAATGTGGCATTGTCCTGGGGGCTGTCTGCTCCCCAAGAGCTGCTCCAAACCCTGAACTTGCTCACTAGGCAGTGCAGTCGCGTTTCTGACCCACCAGCTTCAGCTGTTTGCAGGGATATTTTTCCTTTCTTGTAAGATTTTGCTCCCCTCCTCCCCACCCCACATACGCAGCAAACATTGCTTGTCTGATGCCTGAAGAGCTGATCTCCTCGCTGCTTTCCTATTCAGTGCGGGTTTGGTCACTCAGTGGGAGTGGCCATGAGCGTCTCCTCCCCCCAGTCCCACCTGTGTCCTCGGGGAACACGCTGGGTGGCTGCAGTGTGAACGTGGGGTATGTGAAAATAGCTCCTCACCCTAGGAATAAAAAGAGGCATTTGGAGAGAATTAAGATGGTTTTGTTCCCAATCACTGAAGTAGATGATTTTTTTTGTATTTTATAACAGTTTATTTTTACATCATTTTGTACATTTTTTTTTTCCATCTCAATTGTAATTCCCGCAGGTTTCCCATCACCAAGTCACCCATGTGCCACCACCATAGTCCCGTGCATTTCCCTCCCCGCCCCCCCGTTTTTGATCCCATTCCCCCTCCACCCCTGCAAAATGTCTCTGGTCTATGGTTGTTCATTATTCTTGTTATTTTCTCGCCTGGTCCATTATACTCCTGCTATGAGTGAAACCATCCGGTATTTTTCTTTCTCTTTCTGGCTTATCTCACTCAGCATGATCTTCTCCAGCTCCATCCAAGTTGCTGCAAAAGACACGTGTTTCTCTTTTTTGGTTGCTGAGTCATATTCCATTGTATATATGTACCACATCTTTTTAATCCAGTCATCTATGAAGTAGATGATTTTAAAAACATTTTTGCTCAAAAAGAAGGTGAAAGACCATTGCGAAAGGGAAATTTGTAGAATTACAAATTAATTTGTACTATGTACTTTACTGCATTAACTTACGGCCTAGCTAACGAGGCGCCACTTTATGACAGCATTGCACAGGTCGGCGTCAGCTTCTTGCTGGTGCTTAGGACTGTGCTGAGCTCTTTCGTGGTCAGGTGTGGTGGCACAGGTGAATTTCCTTCGTGCTAATGCCCCCACTTCTCATCTAGTTATTCTATTTTTAAAAAAGATTTACTTATTTACACATACAGGAACTGGGAAGCAGGCCAGAGGTATGGGGGCGTGTGAGAGGCCTCCCCAGAGACAGAGTGGGATCAGAACAGGCAGATGGACCGGGATACACTGCTGAGGGGAGCAGCGGGGAGACAGGAGGGGTTTGCTGCGCCCTGCGGGTCACTCGCTGGCCTGGAATCACACTCAGGCCACAGTGGCTGGTGCCAGCTTCACAGTGCTGCGCGTTAACCCCTTGTGCCACCAGGAGGGCCCTCCTCATATTTTTTAAAGAAACACACTTTATCAACATTGGACACTGGATGTTTCTAGAAACTAAACATGAATGTCCAAGAGTAATCCAGATGAAAAACCCTAGTGAACAAGCAAATCATTCTGCCAAAAAGGGACAAGACCGGAGAAATGAAACATTTCTCTGGTGACCCGGGGCTGAGGGATGTTCAGAGACGATGTGTCTTGGGGGCCCAACCCTTCTTTTGCCTTTTCTGTCTTAGCAAAGAAGCCGCACAGAATTCAAGTGCACTGTTCTGAGCCACCGAGCAAATAGTGCTACTTTAGACCACCCCATCGTCCTCCAGCTTGGGCCGAAATCTTCCTTGTACCTGGCACAAGGACCTGAGGCAATCGCTCTGGTTGATGGCTCTCACTGGGAGCTTGGCTTTTGAGCTACACTGTGATTGGTATAGAAATACAATAAGGTGGGCCCTCCCCGGTTGTGTGATGGGTTAAAGCACAGATCTATGAAGCTATCAGCAGCCACTGCAGCATGAGTCGGATCCCCAGCCAGGGAGTGACCCACAGGGCTCAGCAGACCGTTTCTGATCTGCCCGCTGCTCCCCTCAGCAGTGTTCTTTGTCAGTCGGCCTGTTCTGCTCCCCGCTCTGTCTCTGGGGAATCCTCTCACCACCTCTGCACCTCTGGCCTGTACCCGTTCTGGCATGCATAAAGAAATAAATATCTTTATAAAAGAAATACAATTAGACGTATTGTCTACAAAGGTCCTTGAGAAATATTTAAAAATATTTTCTTGCAAAGACAGGTTCAGCTTGAACCCAAGCCAGCAGGTGTGAAGGGAGGCCAGGACTTGTAGTAGCAGAGAGTGACCACGAGGGGGCGGTAAAGGAAAGCGTCCCTTGCTTGCAGCGCCCAGAAGTCCCTGCAGTCAGGGGTGTCCCGAAAGGAAGGGGGAGGCGTGGGCGCACGTGGAAAGAGGGGACAATGATGTGCGCAGGTTCGAGTTGACCTTGACGGAGCAGGGCCACATGCTGGGTCTCGAGGATGAACGCCTGGAACTTGCATAACGGGCTGCTGCCCGCGGTGGGAAGGCGGTGTGAGGCGGAGGGTGACTGGCAAGTCAATTAAAGTGTGTTTATCATGCTTTCGTGCGAGATAATTTCTTGTGGGTACACGTTATGCGTCCTGAGAAGCCATCAAGCCCGTAATGGGGTGTTTGCTTTTCACACCCGCATCCCCACCAAGGCGCCGCCTGACTCATCCCCAGGGACACGGCAGCTCTCCGCCGCTCTCGCTGCCCCAGAAGCCAGAGGACGGGCCAGCCCAGGCCACCGCGTCGCGCGGGGGCTCGGGCCTTCCAGCCGAATAGAGCGGACTGCAGCTGTCCGGGTGCGCCCTGCCCGGCCTCCTGGCGTCGGTGCGGGCGCGCCCGGCTTTCCCAGCGTCCTGCGGCGGGCGAGGGGCCCGGCCTGCTGGCGCGTGCGTGGGGCGCTCCGGCGCACCCTTTGGCTGTGTCCAGCCGGGCCCAGGGCAGGGCCACAGGCATCTGTGTGAGAGGCCAGGTGCACCCGCGTGGTCACTACGAGGGCCACGACCACGAGTCCACAGGAGAGGGAGAGGAGACCAGAGAGCGTTTGCCCCCCAGCCTGGCCCTGCCCGCCTGCCCACCCCCCTCACCCCTGCCTGCAGTCGGGGGGGAGCGCAGCCTGCCAGAGCCGCCCACCGCGGCGTGGACTCGGCCTGAGTGGACAGTGAGCGCCCGTGGGGGCAGGAGGTGCCACCCCTGGCCTTTGGCTCTCGGGAGGGACTGCTCCTGATCAGGGAAGCGAGCAAAGGCAGCTTGAAGACGTCTCGGTGGCCGGTCGCCTTCGCGAAGGAGAGATGCAGGTTGTTCAAGGAGACAGAGGCTTTGGGGCTGGGCTGGTGGGTGTGGGGTTCTGGGGGACAGGGAGTGAGCGTGGATCCTCAGGTCCTGCTGGGGGGTCTTCTCAGCACAGAGCTGAGGTCTTCTCATGAGGCAAACCAAACCCACAGTTCAGGATAAAATTCATTATTAAAATGATTCAGTGTCAGTGTTTTTATTTGCTAATGAAACTGGAGATGCCCCTCCCCACGTGGGACGCCAGCACCTGCCCCCCCCCCCGCTGTGCATGGCATTGCTGTGCAGGTGGTGGGCACTTTCCTGTCCACCCGCAGTGGCCCCACGGGGGTTCAGGCTGCAGCTGAGGGCAGCTGGTGATGGTTTCTGCTATGCCACGTCCCCCCAGGTCAGCACCTCTGGGTCAGGGCTGCAGGGAGGAGGGAGGTCCACTGGCCAGCTCCAGGGCCAGGGCTCCCCCAGCTGCAGGCTGTGGAGATGCTGATGGAGCAGGGAGGGGCCCTCACGTGTGGGCCATGAGCGGTGGTCAGCGGTCCAGTCAGGCTTGGGGGGCCCTGATGGAGAAGATGAGGCAGGAGGGAAGCCAGGTTGGGGCTGCTATACTGCAGTGCTCTCTGTGACTCACTGGACTTGTTACAGGGCAGGGAGGGGCACCCCTGGACCCCCAAACCTGCCTGCTCTAAATAGTTCTGCCGCCCGCGCATCAAGGCAAAACTTCTAAAACCTTCGTGGAAAGGAGCTTTAATGCGGTCGGTGAGCGACACACGAGGCAGAACAGACAGAGCCAGATCAGACACCCACGTGCCCGTCCCCTCGTGGGTGAAGTCCAGCCAGACGGGACTGGCCCAGAGCAGGGCCTGAAAGCCGCCCCCGTCTAAAGCCCCTTCCGGCGGGAACCGTCAAGAGGGAAACAGCCGGGCAAGTCTGGAGAAGAAGAGACCCAAGATGGACGCCGCCTCGTCCCTCCCACGGCCCTGCAGCCCGGCCCGGAGTGGGCGCAGCTCCCCCGTGAGTCTCTGCTGCCTGGGGACCTCGGCCCCTCCCGCCGCCCTCCCCGAGCTCCTCTCCAGCTTCTCCCT